TGCATCTAATGGGCTGGGGCTGAAACAGGAAGCAGGGATTTAGATCACTGCTCGGAGGGGGGCTCATATTCTGCACCGGGAAAGAATTGCTGGGATCTGAATTGGCACTAGCCACTTATTGACTCAACTCTTAGATAAAAAAAATTATTGCAGGTCATGCACATCTGCAGAGATATGGACACAAGCTTTTAAATGTACAAACAGCAGAGAAAGAGGAAGATGGTGGACTGACAGAGATAAAAAAAAAAAAAAAAATGGCCAGAGAGCCCTAGAGACAGAAAGCAATCAATCTGTTCACCTCTCCTACTTTAAACACCAGCAGTGGAGTCACTGGGACCTTAGTGGTTCTTGTGGAGATATAATAAACAGGCAGGAGCAGGAATACACAAACCATTGGTGTTGCCAATTGCCACATTATGCAAAATAAATATGCTTATTGATTTGCTGTCCTAGAGAAAAAAATAAACCAGGAATATTTTAATAGATGTGCGGTGCATTATCCTGCTTTTTAGCTATAACCAAGGACATAGCAAATGTGCAGAAATAATCTGCATAATCTGTCTTTATGGACTTTTGATTTGTAAATGTTGAATATTTCTATTGTTTTTTTTCCCCACATGCACTACTTTTCCCCTCAAAGTACATAGTATGTGCTTGGTTCACTTTGACTTACAATACACATTTCTGACTGCTTGCTCAAAATATATCAATCTTTTATATAATAAATGTTTGGCATTTCAAAGACATAGTTAGTTTTAGTTGACTAATGTGCTTAATCAATTTCTTCAGCAGTCATAGTAACGTTTGTGGTGATGTCTTTGACTTGTTGATGGGTCATTTTCTGATTACTGGTAGATCCATACATAAAACACTTTGGACATTTGTTGTTAGAGAACTCTTGATGTAACTCAGTCAATGCAAAATATGAGCAAAAAGCAACTGCGTTATGTTGCATTTTGTAATGCTATGCCAAAACTGATGATGATTGGTGGAAAAGTAACCAATAGGGTCAGGAACTTGAGTTTGTTTAAACTTTTAATGTCCCTTTACTCACAAGCAGCACACTCCCATAGTGGACCAACCAGTTTGCTGGTGAGGATGGTTTCGGGGGGCCGCCCTCTCCCCAGTCGACTCCTCCCAGGCAGCCACAGCCAAAGTGGTTCAAGACATCAATGTTCATTCTCAATAATCCAGGTAAATAATCCAACAACGTTCAGTGAGGTCACTATGGGAAGCACACTCCCATAGTGGACCAATCAGTTTGCTGGTTGATCCACTATGGTAATGTGCTTCTTGTGGGGAAACAGTTTGTTTGTGGCTCCTAAGATTGATGAATTCCTTCGGATGAAGGATGAAATGTCTCTAAAAAAACAAACAAACAAACAACCAAAAAAAACACGTCCAGATGACCTGACTGAACGTTGTTGGATTATTTACCGGGATTATTGAGCATGAACCTTGATTATATACCAGAAACTGCTAACTGTCCCATTTCTACAACTTAAAGTCAAGTGGCAAAGCCTTAATGCAAATAGCCAATGCAGGATTAACACTTCAGCACTGGCTGAAAGATAAGTGTGTGCAACGATCTACAATGACACACACACTGCAAGCCCCACTCAAACCTTGTGTCTAAAAGGAGCCTTTAAGGCACATGTTGACCATTAAATATCTGGTTATTCATTGTGCCTTTAAATCTGAAGCCTGAAAATCATTTGTCATTTTTAAAGAGGACAAAAGTGTAACAAATCTGTATCCAAAGAGCATTAACTACATTATTAGTAGGACAAATCAGATTGGTCCCCTGGTGAAACATTACGGGCAATGAATGCATGATAATGTTGCAAGTACAAGCAAGGACAACTTGTTATACCAATGAATGAGGAAAAGAAGACATGACTTGTATTTCAAATAGCTCCTCATTTATACCAACAAATGTCACAAACCCTGCAAGTGCAACATACCGTACTTTTCGCTGTATAAGTCACACCTTTTTGCATAAATTAGCATGCCCTGCGACTTACACAGCGAAGCAACTTATTTATGTTTTTTTCCCATATTTATAAACCAATATTTGGCTGAGATCTGACGATTTCATTCATTTTGACAGTCATAATATTGAACACTAACATTTTCAGCCACAAGAGGGTGCTTAACTGATTTGGCAAGCCAAGTGTCTCATTAATAGGTAAAAGAGGCTATTAATGAGACACTTGGCTTGCCATACCAAGTCACCTTTGTCTTGCTCCTGAACTTCTGGAGCAAACGTCAAATCAGCTGTATTTCGCCGCTCCACCCAGGAGATATGCAGCTGATTTGACAATTAAAGTGCATTTATTAAGGACATTATCAACTGAGACACACCTTTGCTATAATGTCAAGCAAACAAATAATTATTTTTAGGTGGTTAGCTTGTTAAATTTCCCTCTACACTCTCCAGCAGCTGCAAATTGGCTTTTGAAATGCAGCTGATCTGACCGTCAAAGTGCATTTATTAAGCAAAAGTTAGACTGAGACACACATTTGCTATAATTTTGAGCAAACAAACAATTGTTTTTAAGTGTTAATCTTGTTAAATTCTTGTTAAAGTTCTCCCATGCACGCTCCCGCGTCCACCATTTGGCAGCCAATTGATTTTTGGCCCACGTTTCCGGGCGGTCAGTGGTGACGCATAATAGATGCGACTTATGCAGCAAAGTGATGTATTTATGTTTTTTTCCATTTTATTAGACATATTTGGACTGATGCGACTTATATGGCGGCACGACGTGTACAGCAGCAAGTACGGTATATAGGGTTATATTCTCCAACTAACCAGTTGTCAAAAAGTATCTTAAAAAAAGAACAACAAAACAGCAAGAGGGTGTTGAATTACACTAATCAGTCAGAAGAATAAGAGATGAAGTAACAATCAATGGTTATTTTAGTGGGAAGCTGAAACCAAGAAGTGTTCCAGTGCCATCTGACAATGGTTATAAATAGTCTCCTTAAACCTGACAAGAAAATGATTGCTGGTCATTTTTGTTGCTTGGATCTCCAATCACTGCACACGTTTGGCTCAGAAACAGCAAATCAAACTGTATAAAACTTTAAACAACCTTGAAGCAACGTCACACACTATTGCACATAAATAAAGTGTGCAGTGTTAAAGTGTATAAAGAGATTTGCATGAAAATCAGCTATTTATGACTTAAAAAAAACAGTTTTATTGCTTCGTATTTTATAATTACTTCCACGAACTGAAAAATTTCAGGTAAAAATTAAGGCATTCGACTGTTTGTTTTTCTTATCCAAAAAAATAAAAAATCTAATAACCTTAAAGCTTTTCTCTGTTTTTTTCCAGTAATTACTAATGATTTTTCAGTGAAATTGTCTTTAGAGGACATAGATGAGTTTCTATGACAGAATGATCAAAGAAGTCCATTAAATTCAAGGTGAGAATATGTGATGAATAAAACAGTAAAATCTGCCATTGAACAAAGTCTTGTCAAAGGCCTCTTCTCATAAGAATAAAACGGCTCACTGAACCTTTTTTATGCATATCAACAGTACAAATATGACAGCTGACTCGAATTCACTGCAGGACATTGACCTCATATTCCTCTTTGTTCATTTGTCATATAGTCTTCCTGACCTGGGAACTTCTTTTTTTAAACTTTGTCTATTTTAGAAACTAACTCTGCTGATCTGTTGTAATAACCATAGGGGGAACTCTGTTTTTACATAAGGGACACAGTAAAAATGTAACTTAGTCCACAACAAATACACCTAAAAATAACTGCTATGGCTCTGTTCCACAATTTCTTTTCAAATTTGGCATTCACTACACAGAAAATCTGACTTTTATAACTTGAACCTTATATAAGGATAAGTCTTCATGTATTAAGACATGAATATGCCTTCCATCCTCACCTGCCCATTTTTAAAAAATAATCTATAACCTTTATTTTCCTTTTAGAGTAAGAATGCAGCTTTTCTGTCAGGGCTGTTTTCAGAGTTTATTTAAACGGCTCGATGAAAAATCGCCTGCTATGAAAGCTTTAAAATTTTAATTTCAGTTCAGTATTTTTCTCCTTGCCTCTAAATCTTCTCCACGACACAATAATACATTACTTACATTATTTATTGTAGCAACAAATCTGTGTATTATATATTTTGAATGATTAGTCATGCAATATAATAAATGCTTGATGATGAGAATTATAATAAACAAAACAAAAAACTGAATAAATTAGAAAATAAAATAAAGATGGCTTCAAAAATAATCTTTTACATCTGTTAACATAATGTTGCTACTGCCAGAACTAGTCAATAATTAACAAAACATGAATAATCCAGAGCCTGCATGATGCTATTTGACTTTTTTGAAACAGATTGATGTTGAAGCCACATCAATCCACTAAACTGTGAAAAGGTCAAACAAACTGAAACACCGATAGCTGGATGTCGTCAACCAATACGTTCAGTGTTTCATTCAGGTGCTGATTGTTGGGCAAAGGGAGGAAAACACAAAGGTTTTGGGAGGAAAAAGCTGCTCTGCGCCTCCTTCTGATTCTTGAGCAACATGTTTCTCTCAGTGCCAGTTTAATTCAATAACAGCTGTTAGCCAAATGTGCCACTTTAAGTTATGCTGCTCTTTTTTTTTTTTTCCATTCATAATGAAGTTTTATTCATACGGACGTACCGACTTTGAGAAACAATTTTATTTACTGCAGCGGCTCGGGACTGAGAATGAACTGCCTCGCAGCAATAAACTCTTTCTTCTGCATCAGTAGATGATGAAGGCATTAGTTTAGTGGTATGTTTTGCTGAACGTGCTTCATTTACCCTCACGAACTTCAACAAAAGTCACACACGAAGTTGTTTGCACTACTGTATGTTTTTGGAGATGCATTCCAATTTACAACTCACACATAAAATGTGAACCATCAAAGTCTACCATAGAAAAAATAGCTCTCTTACAAATACAATTGCTTCTATGAGTTTTCTGGGTGATTTACCTCTCTGAAGTCTTTAGGGCCACACTCTTTGCCACTATAACTACATTCAAGCAGGATATCTTCAATACGATGGCGGGTGCGGTTGTAGAACTCATCCAGGCTGAAGGGTGAGCCCTGTGGGCGGTCCGGCTCTGCAGCCAGCTGAAACCCAGGTGCCATGCCTTCCTCAAATCCCAGTAAGGGACTTGTGAAAATCAGGTCACTGTAGCTCATCTGAGACTTACGGATGAAGTTGTAATTGCACATAGATATGGCAGGAAAGATCTTTTGGTCGGCCACTCTCTCATCCAGCATGGTGATGTGGTCATATTGGAGATAATAGATAATTCTGTCAGCTACCTGGTATAAGAAGGCAGACAGGGACAAAATGAAGACCAGTGCCCACAGACCCTGGCGAATACCAAACTTCTTGTCTTCCACAAACACATGGTTGGCTCCGTGGAGCGAGCAACCACCGAAGAAAGTGGCCAAGTCATCCACATCACCATCATTGCCCTCGTCCTCTTCGATGTCATCATCCACCTGGCTGCACCTATCCAGGTAGTCCTGTGAGCCCCCATCACTGTAGTCCTTCTGTATACGCTTGTAGTAGTCATTAAAGCCCTCTTTACAGTATCCTCTACAAGGTTCATCGTCAGTGGAAAAGGAGATGGTGCACATGATCCGGAGCGGCATGGTGGTATGATTTAATAAGTCAACAACGCTTAGAGATGAGAAAGTAACAAGAAATTAGTGTCAGTCCACAAAAATGATCAAATAATGATATTCAGGAGCAAAATAAACATTGAAGATCTTGTTCTGAGGAACTACTGATCCACAACCATCCATTGAATGAGTTAAACACAAAGCATCCGAAGGAACCGAACCGGCTTACTGAAGTTAAGTCTTGATTAAAATCTGTGGACAGTCATACACAAAAAGACTTAAAGTTAAAACATCAGCTGCAAAAAAGGCTTGAAGTGAAAGGTAAACTGAAAACTGTGTCCAGCGCTGTCGTGTCCTGGTCTGTTAGGAGAAGACCCATCCCTTGTAGCAATTTTGAAAGAGGCAAGAACAAAAAAGAAAAGAAAAAAACAAGGAAGAAGGATCTGGAGGAGAGAGAAGGAGGCAGAAGGGAATGAAAGTGAGGTCACGAGGGGTGCTGGACACTGAATACTCCCACAGGGCCCAGCTACAAGTCAGAGTTTCAGCTTTTACGAGAAAAAAAAGGTTTGATGTAGTGTGAGCGCCTGACTTTGAGCTGTAGAAGCATTAAAACAGGCTGATAAATATCTGCTGATATCACAATTCAAAGTAACCTCACTCTTCCTTTGGAAAATAAAACGTTCTCAGCACAGCTGTGCAATCTAATACACATCATAGGTTAGCATTATTGAACTGAAGCGGAGAAAACATTCCAACATTTGAATACATAATATACATGCAGAGGTTGCACTGCAAGATCTTTTTTTTTTTTAAACGAGCCTCGAGAAAATTAAGAAAAGGAGAGCATCAAGGCAATGGCTAATCAAGAAATACGCTATTAAAGGAGCAAAGACGATGCAGAAAAGTCAAGGAATTTAATCAGAGCTTCCATTTGCTCAATGTTATTTGAATCTAATGGCTCGTTTTACCAACAGATCTCGCTCAAATGACATAACCCCATCATAGCTGCGAGCAATCCTGTGGAAAGCAAATTAAGTGAAAGCAAATATGTACAAGAAGTGGAGAAGAAAACATCTTAAACAGATTCTCCCATGACAGAATATGGAGATAAATGTAGATTCCCAGAGGTGATGCAGGCAATGATATGAAAAGGAAATATATGAGACCAATCCATTTGTATTGATCAGGCTCCATTAGACAGGCGGGGATTATTTTCAGAAACATGATGTTGCCAGAAAATGAAACGTTAGATGCTTTTAGAGGGATGACAGCACTTTTTACAATAAAAACCTAATCATGGCTCCAGATACCTCCAAGGAACAGACACATTAAACCTGTAAAACCAATACAAAACACATTATCCAGACCGAGGTATTTTGTTAAGCTTTTAAACCACAGCCTGACTAAAGTGGGAGGTGCACACCAATATATGAAAGGGTGAGAAAGGCAGCAGACTTAGTCAATATGTGTTTATCTGCAGATGTGAAGACTGTTTATCACTGAACAAACAAAACCGTTGATGCTTGGCCTTAATCATGCTTTATCGCGGAGCTTGCTCCACAGCTGGGTGGCCCGTGCTTCTTGAATATGTATTAGCGATCAGGAGATAGCCTTCGGCATCCGTCCTGACCTAACAAGAAGGTCACTGCTCCCTCAGCTGCAGCCCGAAGGCCCTCAGATAGGTGCGGCTGCATGAATATTCACACACGATGACACAACACAGATCTGGCATGAGTTTGAGAGTTGCAAAACTGCAGAGAAGAGAATAAAAGTGCACGGCAGATCGTTGATCCTCTGAGCAAAACGACTTTGTTCCCGTCTGCTCTGCCTCAACATTTTAAGAAAAAAATAGTGCAGAGAGATTAATAAAAGCAGGAGTATGATCATTCTAATTATTTTGATATGACTGTGTAAGAGATTAAAAAAAAAAAAACTTTTTTTGGATACTTTTTGAAACATTTCTGCAGCATGAATACTGATAACCACCAGGGGGCAACATCAGCACGTCTAATGCTGCAGCTCTCCCTCAGGGTTAAAACTGTCATGAAGTCATCAAAGGGATTGATAAATCTTTTGAACGAATAAAAAAAAAGCTGTGAGGAAAAAAATTACTTCATTGGCTGAACAGCAGAAGTAATTACTTAAAAGCTAACCAAGTTGTAAATACCAGCACGTCTTTTAAATACTTGGGACTCCGTGAGCTTTTTAAACCTAAAGCAAAGTGTCCACCTGTCCTCTAAAATCAGACTGAATGGTTTAAACAGGTGGCAGACGTGATAAATAGATGCAAATCATGTTTTTAACCTGTAAAGGGTTAATAATTCAAATTAAAATCATTCTGCAGACGTTTTCACGTCACCTCCTGATTATTACCTTCTAAAGGAAAACACTCAAAAAAGGTTGAAAACTACCTCAAAACTATTAAAAAAATATATTTTCAAGAATAAATCTCAAAGTTGAAGAAAACATGCACAATAACTAAAAGAATGTATCACTTCTGGGCATTGAATTCTTCTCTGTTGGGTCAAAAGGTGGCAGTGATGTGTTTTGAGGAGAGTGCCATTGGTCACAGCCACCGTGCACACCCCTGGGGTCGAGATTTCAACAAGGCCGCGCCTTTCGCCACGGTCAGAGAAGAGTGCAGGCAGATGAGAGGAAAGGTTTAACGCTCCCTTTCAAGTCCCTCTCACCAGCTCCGCTTACAGCCAGGATCGACCTGGCGTTGCCATGGATACATACAGGCCGTCAGCAAGAGAGGATGCACAAAGCCCATTACTCAGAACACACGTACAGTCACACATGCACATGGATGCATGCACGCTCCAACACACACACACCCACAAAAAAAACAGATAAAAACAAGAGAAAAATAAAAGCTCACACACATACAGATGTAAAAGAGACTGAATGAACGTGTGGCGCTTTCAAATATTGTATATTTTTCCTACGTCCTGATCTGATTTTGGATGTAAAGTGAGGAGAGAGGAAAAGTCAAAATGAAATGAAGATGTCACAAAAAAAAAAAAAAAAACAGCTGACACACAGAGGCAGTGACGTTCTTTGCTCTAAGGCAGCGTTCAATCAATAGTGTAGCATTCATATTCTTAGGTCATTTTGGAATTCAATGGATTTGGCCTGTGCAATGGAAAACAAAGAGCGAGTAAACAAGAACTGAGCCCATCCATTCCCAGCAGATGCTGTGGCAGAATGAGGCAGAGGGCAAAGGAAATGAAACTTTTCCTTAAAAACAAACCAAAAAAACACACCATTTGGTCTCTACTTTTATAAAATATGCCTCTGCTGCCCGGGTTTTCAACGCAGAAGCTCACCTGTTGAGAAGAAACAGCGAGGAGGAAACAATGCCCTGATTTTTTAACTGAGCTGCTGTTGCCTAACAACACATTTCTCATTTATACTGGTGCAGAGGTGACATACAACTTCATGACCTGTTCTTCAGTAAGGCTGGGATAACAGAGAACGCTATAATGGAGTCATGCTTTGACAAGCCTCAGGAGGCCAACTCCTCATTCTGGAAATCAAATCCACATCATACCTTTATCTTAGAAATACTTGGAATGAGAAAAAGAGGGTTTTACAATCATTTTATATATTTTTGTAATAATACATATTGAACCAATTCATTATGTTGTTTATTTAATTAGGATATTAAAAAAAATCTATTGTAATAAAAAGAAGCATCAGCTGTCAAGTTTAATTAAGAAAAACAAGTAGGTCTTCTTTGGTAAATCTTATGCATTTATTGACTATTTTCACCTTTTCACAAATTTTTAGTAAAGATTATTTTAATCCAAGTTACAGTAAAAATACCCATGGCATATTTATGTGTCACTTCTCTTTAGTATCACATGAAGGTTCAGGCTCAAAACAGTTGGAAACCTATCTTTGTGTTTTGCTTGTGCCTGATTTAAAAATAAACCTGCTTTTATTTCACCATCTCTATTGTAAATCATCACTGGACACCCATGATCCTGACGCTAACAAAGCTATAGGAAACAGAACAGGAGAAAGAAGAGAGAAAACTGCTCAGAGGGCAGCAGGCAGCCCAAGATGGGTTTCATTGTGATGCAGAGCCAAGCCAAAGACAATTTCAAATATTTGTTCATACGCAGGCGAGCTGCAGGAGGTAAGGAAGGATGCTGAATCGCAAGTGGTGTTGCTATAACATGCTTGGAATTCACACTATGTGGTAGCAGGTGAATGATGATAACCTGCAAGTTGAAAAGCTGCCAAGAGCTTATGGTGTAAAAAACAAACAAACAAACAAAAAAACATGTAAAGACAAATAATAATGTAGTTAAGGTCAGAACAATTAGTGTTGCTTGGGATCTGGGGATGGGTGACAGAAGAGATTCCAGCAGAAGCAGGGAGATGGAATCAGCGAAGACATAATGTACTTGGTTTTAAAATCAATATAATCCATGAAAACATCGGTTTGTTCTGACCGGAGTCGAGAGCAGTAGGACCTCCAGTTCTTGCTGCTTTGATAGACATGTCAGATGTAAACGGAGCTAGGTCAGAGACCAATAATAGCAGCTCTGTGACTGCCTCTTTTTTCTGCATCAGCTCCCATTCTGAATGTGATTATCACTCAGACTAACCCATTACCTCCACACTGAGGTCCCCATACATCCCCCGTGTTTCTGTCCAGAGTCCGCCTTTACTTGTTTTGCTGCTGTTAAATTCAGTCTGACTTTAGCTGCTGCAGTTTCTCTTCTCCATCTGCCTTTCCTTCTTTATCTCTCCGCTTAACAAAAAAAAGAGTCACAAAATGCTACAAGACTCAGAAGGGATGCATCAAGGAGAATTTTTAGGTATATTAGTTCTCATAAAATGAATTCATCAGAAGAATCCCAGAGTGTCGGTGCCAGAAATCTGAACAGCAGTATCAGTGGTTGTTTTGAATGCATCATTGGCACCAGTTCAAATAAACCAATAAATCATACACGTGTCCCCAGTTAATTTACACTGAAGTATTGAAATAAAAAATACAGCTCATCGTTTTGGTGGTTTTAGCCAACAAGTTGCAAACCTATTTATAATACTGTATATCACAACCATGCTGAGACTGTGGTTTGAAAGCTTTTTTTTAATTTTTTTTAAATTAAAACATAAATAAACTGTGATGCTGACTGGAGCTAAATTAAATTTGATTTGTTGGCATTTTTTAAATAAAATAATTCAAATCCAAACCAGTGCCACTTAACAAAATGTACACCTTTATATATATATATATATATATATATATGCTCTGTGTATATATACATATGACAAACAGACTGTGTTTATACCCAAAGCTGTATAGAGCTGCCGTATATGGACTGTATAAATGTATAAATTATATGTATAAATGGACTGTACTTATATAGCGCCTTTCTATCTAATCAAGATA